GGGCCCCCCTGCCCCCCGCCCGCCCGCCGCCGGGGAAGCTGGAAAGCCTGCTTGCGAGGCTTCACGTCCCGCGGTTCCGGCGCCTCTAGGTACGGGGCTCGGCCAAAAAGAGGGGGGACTCGGGGTCTCGCAGGGGCTGTTGCTGGGTCGGGTCTGTTGGCTCCGCAGGTACGCTGTGGATTTCGTGATTGACCAGCGCTGCTGGTTCGGGATGGTGGCTTTGGGTCTTTGGCATCTATTCGTGTGTAACGCATGGAGGTTTCGTTATGGCGGGCTGATAACGGGGGGCTTTATTCTTAATTTAACGTCTGTTGTTCCCCGTGTGACACTTTTTGTTCATGCTTTGCACCACAGTCGAAGCAGGTGTCAGCTGGATAAACGGTGCTGCAAAGTCCCGTTCAACGTGGGAAGGGGATCAGTGCTTGCGTGTTGCGCGTTGGTTGTGCAGCTAGCAGGGGAGCTGAAGCGTGTCAGAATGTCCCATATATTCATGGATGAACTCATATTATCCCCACTGTGAGGGCTGGAGAATATACTGATGGCAACTGAGGATCAAAGTGATGCAATGATTTGCTGCCAATCACATAGGAAGTATGTGATATCACTAAAAAATGAACGATAGCTCACAGCGTTAGTGACTACTGGTCTGGGCTGCTGTTAGCTGCAAAGGAGAGTAAACTAAGGGATAACAAGGTCTGGATCATGGTTATATGGATGTTGTCATCTCTTGGAAGCACATGATGGTAGCCAGTGTCTTGTGGCCTCTGAGAAACAAGTTAATTACTTCCTGAAGTTACCTGGAGTCCTGTTTGTCTGCTCTGAGCTTTATTTTTCTTTAAATACTTCAACACAGAAGCAAAACATTTCAAATTAAAGATTGGTGATGTAACGAGAAAGTAGCTCTTTCATCTGCTCTTTCTGTTGCTGGATGATTTAAAAAGTTAATGCCGTGTAAGTTACAACAGTGGGAGGAGTTCCGTGGTAAAGGTGTTTTGGTTAGCCCTTTAATGTATTTATAATACTTTAGCATTTAATAATCATCAGCAAAAAGCATTTTTTTAGAAAGGATTTAAAAGCATTGGTCAACAGATTTGAAGGCACAAACTGTCGGAGGGAGTAAAGCCAGTCCAGCGGCATGACTGAGCCTGCTGCTCTGCAGCACAGGAGCTGTCAGGTTTGTCCCGATCCCAAAATTTCTACTCTACTAGCTTCAACTGGAGTGTCTGTCTTGTTCCCTTGTGCGGGTACTGGCACCTGTGTGCTGGTGCAGTGAGCTAGTTCAGGAAGGTGATCCAGCTGAAAACTGATGTGCCATGGGACAGAGTGACCAGATAGCTCCTGAGCCTGGTTCACTGTTGCAATTGTCCGAGTGATGGGGCTGATGCAAGGGAACAGGCCTGGCTGCTGTGACTGTAGCAACTCCTGTTTAGATCCAGACACGCTGCTGTGGAACTTCATCCCAAGCCTGGACTTTAAGCTGGCATGCTTGCAGGAAGAAACAAGGCTTCCTGCCTCGCTCCTGCCCCCATGCTGCTCCCTTCCTTTCCTGGGCAGAGCTCTCCGAAGGGCGTGTTTCAAGAAAGCTGGATGCAGCTGTAAGGTGGTGTGGGTTTTTTTGTTTGGGTTATTTTTTTACACACGGTACCCGAAGTTCCACTCATCCAGTTGACTCCGCAGCTGCAAAAGTGCTTGGGCACCTGTGAAGGAGAGGGTGATGCACAGGCAGGAATGAGTACTTGTTGTTGGGAGAAGGTAGATTTGCTCCTCCTTTAACTCAGCTGGTTGGTGCTTGGTTCCAGGTGTTTGTCAAACTATAGCCTTGTGCTTCAGGCATGCAGTGTTTGACATGTGAAGTTTTTCTGCCAGATGTGTGTTTCCACACTGTGCTCAGTGTGCAGTTCTCCTAGTTTTGTCTGTGCAGTCATGCTGCAAACTGGATTGTTGAGCTGACTGTGGTTAAAAATAACTCCTTTTTATCTCACTGTTTGCTCGGGAACTTACAGTTAAGGACAGTAAAGAGACGGGAGTCGGGCAAGAAGTACAGAGTGGGGATTTTTTCATGCCAAAAATTACTCTAAAGCCAAAACTGGATAGTGTAACTACAGGCAGAGAAGAAACAAGAGAAACTAACCTTGCTGTGCCGAAGTCCTTGAATTTTACACGCTAGTGAGTGAACTTAAATCCCCAAGAATACCTCTTCATTTGATATGTCCATTGCTTTACAGTTTAATTGCTGTTGATTTACATATAACAGCATATTAGCTGGTATACTGTATTACATAGTTCAGAGGAAATCTGTGCTAACCAGCATCTATTGTGGCGTTATGTAAACATACACGCAAATGAGAGAATAAAAGTTTTACTCTACGCTGCCTTGTTAAAGTGAATGTTTCAGAGGGACCTTGTAGGTAATTTTTAATGTTTTTTCTTAATTGCATCTGTGGAGAAGCCTGTGGAAACTAAAATGGGAGTGTCCGAGACTGGAGCAAGATGTATCTAAGACGTATCTAGGTATGGAAAGTGTACCAAATTACCATGATCTCATCTGATTTTTAGGCGCGTGAGTCTGAGTCAGTATACTGACACAAGAGAGAGCAGATTCAAGCACCAGCAATTTTTCATGAGTTCAGATGATTCTTGAATGGGTTCATGTGACATCAGTAGGCTTAACGATTTAAAAGCCGTAACGCATTAGCTATGCAAATAGATGTGAAGCATCACTTAAATGTTTCTGGCTTCTCCTTCATGAAGTGAGTATCTCTGCAGTTCCTGTACCTGATCTGAAATAAACTATGCTTTTGGGGTGATACATTTCCAAGCATTCCCCATTAAAACCTTACTGTAGCTAGACCACTTGAGGGTTGTTGGAACTGTGATGTGTGTTGGAATTCCTCCTGCAGGTGTTATGTCACGATAAGCAATATTTCTTTTCACAATTACCACTGCTTTTTAATCTCTCCCCATTCCATATTTTTTCCTATTCCTCATGATTATTTTTTTTTTTTTTATATATCTTGCTGTACTTTTTTTGGGTATTTTGGTTTCAGCCAGTGCACAGCTGCCAACTCCATCTGCAAATTGGCCTTTCATCTTCAATATGTTAGAGGCCATACAGGAAATTTTAAAGGGCAGAAAGTGATACTGAATATTTGAGAACTCCGTTTAAAAAGGACATGCGTTTTCTGAAGTGCGCTTGTGCTTGTGAAAATAACATACATGTGAATGACCATTGTTTCAGCCTGGAATCTTTGACAGATGGTGAAAAAATGGCTAAATGAAAAGAATTAAGTTAAAAGCCATCCAGAATAGAATTAAATCTTAACCGTAAAGAGGCACATAGTACTATGGAGGACAAAACCTATAGAGAAAGATGGAATAACAGGTAGGCTTTTACAAGCAGGTCCTGCTAAATATGTTGTGTGGTACGTTTGGGCAGGGCTTATGTAGCTGTGTAGCATTCCTTTTCAGTGAGTTAGTTGTAACTAGAAGGCTGTTGAAACCAGTGATGTGTGTTAACATGGACAGGGCTGTCATGCCTATGGCAGGGTGTGTGACACGTTGGGACTGAGGGTTTCTGGCAGGGAGATGGATACGAGGAAGCCCTTAGCGTGTCTTTGGTCTGTGAGTTACAGCCATTGTTCTCTTGTCTCCATGATCACGTTTCAAGTGTCTTGCCATGAACTGGAATGGTTATAATGAGTCAAGTGCATTATTGTTCTTGAATTGGCGCCTCAGTTGTAACTGTACGTGGCTTCTCCCACAAGGTTTTAAGGATTATGAATGCTGATAACGAGCTTACCTAAGGTGGCATGATTTTTATGGCCTCAGCAGCATTTCTTTTGATTGTCCCTGGGGTAAGGCAGATCAGAAGTTGTAACCCATCAGTCCCTTGCAGGACTGTGGAGGTTTGTGAACTGTATCCAAGAATGAGATCCAGAATTTTCACCAGTGGTGTTATATCTTCTGAAGAAGTATTCTATTCCTTCTTCACCTATTTCCCCCTGGGAATTTTAAGGATTACTAGACAATGCTGTTATTTCTGCTTCAGAAGATGAGATCGGTAATTCCTGCACTGATGGGTGCTGGTGGTGAGCTTGACAGGTAAAGGTGGTGGTATCACTGTATCGTCTCTTCATTCTGATCTGTCGTGATACCATGAGGAGGGTGCCACAACTCTTTCTATGTCACTAATTTTGTTCTTTCATTGAGAAACCTGGATATTAAGTGTGGCCAGGATTACTATTGCCCAGCTGGCCATTTCTGCTTCCTTAATGAAGTATCAGCACAGTAGTGATATTGGAAAAGTGTCCTTCTGTATGTTAATAACTATAGTTCTTTAATATGCATACTTAAACTGACATAAGTAGCTGGAAAAACAGCAGACTATTATCTTGAAAATAAAATAAAAACTCTGATTAAAAGCAGCGGTTCCTAATCTATGAGCTGTATTCTGCTTGCTGGACTCGGAGCACAGGAAATGTGCTAAAGCCCAGCCGTCTGCTAACCTCTCCATTATGAAGCACAGGAGTTGAACTGGCTTCTTGGGAGCACAACAGAGACAGTGGATGAGATTACTTTTTTTCTTGGAGAAGACCCCCACCTGTTCCTGGTTAAATTGGTGTTGATTGCACTCGCTTCCTCAGACTCTGCCCCTGCTTAGACTCTTCCTCCCTGCGCTGTCTTACTTCTTTGAAATCTTTGGAATGGGCAACACCCTTTTTCAGTGCCATTCTTAGACCTGCAGTGAAATAAGTTCATGTTCTCTTCTCAGTTCCTTAATTTTTTGGTAGTTATGTTCTTTTTCACTTTGGTTATTATAATGCAGTAGCATTTCTGTGAAACATTTCGATCTTCTTGTAAGAGTTGCACAAAAAATTTAAAATGCCTGTATGTGCAATAGAAAGGCACTTAAAGTTCATGATAATCTGTAAAACAGAAAAATATATTTCAAATAAAAAGGAAATTGTCATATCTTATCTGTAGGAGCTACTATTATAAAACACTGTGCAATGAAGAGCATTCATTTAATATAAATGAGAAAAATTGTAGTCTGGTGTGGGAATTATGCCTTGGTTGATAAGGAAGGAGAATGAATTGATTTGCTATGAAGTGCTTTGTTCTGTAAGTCACTGGTAAAACTAAAGAGAATTAATAAAGATGACATCTTGCACTACGATAATTAGGAAAAGTTGTTTGAATGAATAGGTGAAGTCATGCAGTCTAGCTGCTTCTGTGTTTTTTAATTTGGGTGTGGTTTAATGAAATCTTAATACAGGAACCTTCAGGATTTTGCGAGCAACTGCTTTGTGTGTAACTGAGAAAATCCATTTTCTCTCTGAGCAGCCAAAACCAACAGCACTATTAGAGAGTCCCATTTCTGAAAAACACTGGAAGTATTTCCCTGTGGTAGCTACTTACTGTAGCTGAAGCCTTTTTGCATCAGCCAGTTAGTGTTCCTCAGTCCACAGGGCTTTAGAGTCTTCCCTGGCACAGCTGGTGTTATGCACAGTTTCAGACCTGGAATCTCCGGCTTCCTAACCTAAAGAATCCAGGATCAAATTTTGATTCAACCGAAGCTGAGGAAGAGAGTGGCTGGTGTCCTTGTGCTGCCAATGATAAGCATAAATGAGTAGGGAAGGAATAAGTAGGTAAAAAGATTATTTGGCATTAAGTCAAACTGATGTATTTTGGAATTGCCAGTGAGAATTTTACAGTTCTTAAGTTTGCTGCTTGCGTGACATCATCTGGGGTTGTTGCATCTTTTTCAGAATATGCGTGATCTTCGGACCATCCCCCAAAACCTGGGAAAATCTTGACTTGAATGCTATGATTATTCTGTTACGATTGCCATTTGCTGTCCTGAAATGTTTTACTTCAGGTGCTAGAAGGCATTGTGTATCAGCCTGGGTGAATGCTTGGCCTTGCACAGCTAATGATGAGTAATTTTGACCATGTTGATTCAAGCGTTTGTCAACAAAGCACTATATTTTTTAATGTGTCGTTATACACAATAAATCTATGCCCCCTCCTTGGAGGGGTCCTAACTTCATTTAAAAAGTTGTGTACCCCAATGTCGAGGTTCAGTGTTACTGCATATGGGCAATTATTTGAATAGGACAGCAACAGTAATTGCTGCTATCAGTTGTTTGAGTTTGGGGGGCTGCAGTTGCGTGCTGGCTCTGAACCTGATTTAAAAATTAAATGTAAGAGACAAGGGAAAGGACACGGGCATTAATAGCATTGAAAAAGCAATGGGTGAACTCAGTCTCTTTTGGTTTTGCTTGGGTTTTTTTCCTTGATTGGCACGTGTGTAGTTTGGAAAGGACAGTGGTCCCGATGCTTTGTGGCAAGATTGTGCATGTTCCACGCCTAGAGGCTGAGAGAAAGCCCTTCTCTCCTCCTGCTTGTCATGTGCATTTATTCTGGTAATGATTTACTCTGGGCAAAGTATGCTGCTCATAACTTAGCAAATATAAAGGACTAATCTCAACGATTTACAAAGATAATGGGGAGTAACTGGATTTGACTGTGGCCGTGTCTACAAAGTTCTATATGTTTTCAGGTTCAAAGGTTTAAAGAGCATGCTCCTTAGTGATTGTAAGAAATGGATGCAGCTGAAAGCCAGAGAAATGCAGGTGGTCCTCTGGTGTGACCCATCTGCTTGGTTAGGCCATTTGGACTTTCCCTTGCACTTGACAGTTTTTGCTGCACTGGTGGAGGTGTGGTTATCATGACAGATCTTCTTACACTGTCGTCTTTAGTTTTTACTTATGGTTTGCAACCTCTTATTTTCTTACTTTCCCCTGTTTCCTCCTTTCTGACTTCTGTCTGACATTTTTCTTTTTCCTCCCCATCTTCCCTGCTTTGCCTGTGTGCACAGGATGGATTTCAAGATCTCCCGCAGTGGAGGAAGAAGCTGCTCTTCCCTGTGGTGCTAAAAGGAGTTAATCTAAAAGAGGCTTCCCAGCATGTTCATGCAACAGCATGTTGGTGATAAACAGGCTGCTGATCTGGTGTGGTCAAAGTTTGTCTCCCTACTAGTAAGGTAGGAGAGTGAGAATTATAAATTCTGCAGGTCGGCTTGGTGCTGAACTACTCATCCTTGCGTTTTGCTATGAAAACACACGGTGCACTTTCCCTCTTCCCATTCCAGCTGCCTTACAAGCACTGAAGAGAAAAAAGAGATACGAGAAACAGTTGAGTCAAATTGATGGGACGCTTTCGACCATTGAGTTCCAGAGAGAGGCATTGGAAAATTCCCACACCAACACAGAAGTGCTCAAGAATATGGGTTATGCTGCACAAGCCATGAAAAAAGTACATGAAAATATGTAAGTGCTTTCTGATAGCTTTCAAGTTGAGCTTACTTTCAAACTATTTCATCACTACGGACTATTGTATCAAGTCAGCCAGTTTTGACTTCATTTTTGGTTCAGGCTTTTAATGTCAGGAATGCTGTTGGTGCTGTAGTGTAATATTTGGCAGAAAAATATCTTTTCTTAACAGCAAGCCTAGAAAGAAGTCCACTCAGCTAGAGAGATCTGTGCGGTACCTGTTTTTTTTTTTTTAGTCTGCCTTTGTTTTTTCCAGAAGAAAACTTGGTTAAAGAAACTAAGTGGACCCTTTTCCTCAAAGTCCATAAGCTGGACTGTGTGATTCAAAGTACTAATTAGACCTGAATAAAAGAGAGGGTATTTTTTTTTTGTCTGTGTAGTGTTTTTATATGCCCTATATTGTTTCATGAGGCGTTTTCCTGCCTGAATAAACAGAGTTAAATCAGAAAGATCGTTCTGGGAGAAGTAAACAGGAACTGAAACAATAATGAAGTTAACAATAAGGGGAAGCTTTTAAATGGGTTATAGTCCTGTTAAGTTCCCCCCAGTTCTGGTGAAAGCTTAACATCAAAAAAGATCCATCTGTAAAGATGCTGACTTTGGGAAGGAGATGGGATCTGCCCAGGGGATGTGACTGTCTGCTGGCCGAGGTATGAGAAGCACAGAGAGGGAGAGAGGCACAGACTGCTGCAGTTTGACTTTTGTTATAGTCCCAAAGTGGAAGAAATTGGACTGGCTAAAACACACAGAAGCTTGCCAGGAAACATTAAAGTGAGGGAAATTATTCCCTGTGGGTTCTGCTGTTTATACAGCCATGGGCATAAAAAGAAAACAGGGTCTGCTGAAGTTTTTATGAGTCTGTTCCATAGGATTTGAATGATACATCTTTAAGAAATGTTTCCATGTTATCTTGCCAGGGACTTGAACAAAATTGATGATTTGATGCAGGATATCACTGAACAGCAAGATGTTGCCCAGGAAATTTCAGACGCTATTTCAAACCGAGCCGGCTTTGGTGATGAGTTTGATGAGGTTAGTACTTCAGAACTGTGAGTTTTAGCTGTTAAATGACTCCATAGTTATTTTGTTGTGGGGTGGCTTTTTCCAGTGGTTTCTTTCTCAAAAGGTATGGACGTGAAATTCCTTGGTTCTAGCTTACCCTATCTAGGACATTTTTATAATTTTTTGCATATGTATAAAAAATAAATTAAAATTAATATATATAATAAATATCTATGTAAAGCATTAAAATATTTTTATTTATATATAAATTTTAAGAAAGGTGATTTTTAACTGCAGGCCTGTACTTCTTATTCTAATTTGTACCATGGAAAAGGAGGAGGTCACTAAAACATGTAATTTGTATTGCTCTAAGTGGACACTGAAACATACAATTTTTTTGTGCTCCAAATAGACATCCGTTTGACTAAGTGCATGTTCCTATGCCATGAACAGGCTGCTGTTTGCAATTCTGAATATTTGGACCACTTTTTAAAGGTCTTTTTGGTGTTTGGAGATGCAGGTCCTTTCCCTGTTTTCCAGATTTTCTACAGAAGTAGATCCATTAGGTAGAAGTAATTCCTGTTGGAGGCAATAAGGTTTCTTCCTTGAGCTCTTTTCTTTGAAACCCCCACAAGGCACTTCGGACCTTCTGAAAATTTGTTGCAATAGCTTTCACCCAGTGTCCCTGGACTTGATTTTGTATACCTAAGCAGGACATTACTTATTTTGGATCCAACCATGGTTGAGGACTCAGGGGTCAAATATACTCAAAATTCTTGCAGTCTGTGGAATGCAGAGCTGAGGATCAGGCTCAGTATCACAACCAGTTTGGTTTTGGTTTTTAACTATGTTCTAAAATGACCAAGCACTAAGGATCTTTTGAAGAATGTCCTAAAAAAATCAAACAGTTCACACTCTCCCCAACTAATTTGTTCCTACATGCCCAAATGGACAACAAAAACCCATATGCTCTATCATATTTGCTTGACTGGGGGGGAGGGGAGGTTTCATTCAACAGTTATCAGTTGTTGAAAATAGTAATGATTTTTTTGTGTTTTGTTCCCATTACCTGCTTTCCTATTTTTTTCATTTTGAATGTAAATAGACTTTGCAAGAAACATTTAATTGATACTGGCACAGGGAATGGGATTTGCCCTGTGTAAACTGGGCTTCAAACAAGTGAAAAACTTACTGCCATCCCAAACAGTTATATAGTGTCACTTGGCTTTCATCAGTGCTTAACTTCTAGGAGTCTAGACTTAGTAAGCATGTTGTAGATTAAGACAGGCTAGTCTAAGTTGATGGGCATGTTTCCTGTTCTGGGAAAATAAGCCACTGTCACATGGGGTATCATTGTACCAGCACCTGCCTTTGCACAGGAGCCTAATACAGCGCTTGTCCAGTAACTGGGAAACCTGGTTTGCAGGCCACTTTAAGAGTGCTAGAGTCAGTGACCTAATTGCTGGGTTATGAGGTGATTTGTCTTGGAGGATGATACATAATTTTTTGAAGGACATTATGACCACACATTTGGATTTCCTTTTTGCATGTGTGTCATGGGTGTAAAGAGATCATGGAAGCATGTAATTTCTACTGCTCCAGATAGACACAAAAACATAAGGGTTCTTTGTCCCTGGGTTGACACGGTGTATGTCATGAAGAATGCAAAAAAGCTCTGTCCTACCTGAGTAGGATGCTCACTGGGAGGGGTGATCCTTGCTTGGAGGCCTGTTGTTTCTGATAATCAAATGTGAAATACACACATTCCAGTGGACAAAGCCTGGAACCTGAGCGTTCACATGATATCTTCCCTCTGCTCTCTTTTTGGCTTAGGTTCAAGAGGAGAAAGGGGATTTGTTACAGCTATTGCAATACTCCATAGCCTAGTTGTAGAGCAGTTCCTGAGTTGTGGGAAATACAAGTTAAATCCATGCTTGAGGATGAGAAGAACTTAACACTTAAGTGTCCCACCTGGAAAGCAGATGTTCCAGCCATTACATTATTATGTTAAAGGTGTAGGGTTCATGATCACTGTTTCCTTTACCCCCCTTTTTTTTTCTTTCTTTTTTTTTTTTTTTTTTAAAGAGAGCCTGCAATGGCTGACACTACCTCTTAATTGTTTACTTGTTCATCAGAGGTTGGAAAAGACTAAATTGGTGTGGGAGAGGGTTAGATGACCATCTAGAGGTCTTCAGAAATACCTGTTTCCATTGACTTTATAACAACTTGGACACTAACTTTCCAAGAAGCTTGTATTCACAGCACTGACTGAGGCACTTTAAGTGCAGACACATTTGCACGTCAGCTAAATGCCTAAGTTAGACATGGGGCCTCAACTTGCACATTTCCTTGAGAGATCAGCTGTGACTTGAACATCATCAGGTGTAGATCTGATGCTGAAATTTTTAGATTATATCCTAGGATTTGCACTGTGAACTAAGTCAGGTAGGCAAACTGCAGCCTTTTTTTTGGCCTTACTTACTTCCATGATGGTGATAAGTAAGGTATAAATGGGTAGGCAAAGCCCATTTCAATACCTAGTAATCTCACTTTGCTACAGCCAGTTTTTCCCCGACCACTTTTGCCCATTGTTTCTTTCTAAAACGTTTTATCAACGTGGCAAAGGTCCATTTCTCTGCAAATATATATTATTTAGCTTCCTTTATTTGGGAAACTCAGCCAAGGAATAAGTCTTTGGCTTTTTTAAAAAGTGTATAGCCTTTTTATTTTTAGTATTATTCAAGTGGATTAGATCATTTGTCCAAATCAGCTTTTGCAGCTAAAAGCTCAAGAGTGTTATGTGCTTCGAGAGTGAGTAACAGGACCCAGGAGGACAGCTCTGATTCCAGTGCTGCTTTGAAATCATATATAACCCTGGACTTTGTGGTAGGGCTGAAGCATAATGTTTAATGACAGTCTGTCTTATAACCAGTGCAAGCTGTTTGCTTTTTAAAATGGGAGAAATCGCACATTAAAATTAGGATCCATTAAAGAGTACAGGCTCTAGATTTGGAACAAACCTGAGGATGGCAGAGGGACCTTTTTTTTTTTTCTGTGTTTGCCTTTTTGACAAGTATTACACTGCCATCAGTTTTCTTTCTGATTTTATTCGTTGTTCTGTTTCTAACTTCCGTTGTCCTTCTTTCAACTTTCAATTAAGGTTTATTGTTATCGTCCACATTTAGTAAAAATTATACTTGTGATATGCCGTTTTTTGATACTCGTTTTCATGTGTAAACTGTTCTTTCAGTAGTGCTTTGCTTCGCGGTGGTAAAATGTGCCCTTGCTTGAGATCACTTTCAGGACAATGAATTTGTAAATAATGTTTTTCTTGAATTTAGGATGAGTTGATGGCAGAACTAGAAGAACTGGAGCAAGAAGAATTGAACAAGGGAATGAGAGATGTCAGGTTGCCAAGTGTTCCGTCCACATCGCTGCCTTCTCGCCCTGGTAAACTGCCTGCCTGCCATTTTACATTTCTCATTATTAAGCTGTGCTGTGAGAAGGAGGAGAAGAAGAGAGAGTTCCAGATATGTATTTAACTCTGTGTTAACTTTTAAAGTATTATAGATTCCTTTTCCTGTTTATCAGAAAAAGCAGAGTGGAATTCTGGTTTGCTGTATGAAAGAATTTAGGACAAATTCTCAGTAGATTTTGGGGAGAAACTTGGGGAACTTGACCTTGCACATATGCTGATGCATTTCCTTCTGACATGTAGTGAGATCACTTAGGAATGGGAAGACTTTTTTTTTTTTTTTCTTTTTGGCAATTAAATCCTTAGTCTTTTTAATTAGAGTCTGACCTAGAGTCAAAATGTTTGTGTCACATAGATCCAGCTTTGTAGGTTTGTAGTGGTTTGATATTTACCACTGGTATTTTAATTAGAAATGAAAGAGGCATCAGGAAATACACATATAAAGAAATATTATCATTCCTTTGCTTTCTTTCTACAGAACAGACTTATTCCTGGTATTAAGCAGTAGTCTTGTTTTTCTGTAGTTCTGCCCTGTTCATTTTGAATTAAGCCAGAGACAATCAACTTTTGCTATACTTTTCACTGTGTCCCTGGTTGTCTTCTCTCAGCTGAAGGACTTGCTGTGTACTGATGCTGGTAGAAGAGTAGAAATACTTGATGATAAAGACAGCACACAAGTGACACATGCCATTTGTGGTGCATTCTGTCGCAACACAGGTTACCTAGACCAGCTCAGCTCAGAGACTCTTAGGTGTGTTTTGGCAGACAGCACTTAAATCCTGAGAAGCAGTTTAAAATGTTCAAACTGGGATTGTGACCTCATCTACTGAAGTCAATTGCAGAACAGCTAGTGGAGGGCAGAAAGGATTTAGGAAAACCCAGTGCAAATTGCACTCTGGGCATTTATGGCTTGTTCATACATCCCCTTCCAGATCCAGCTGTTCCAGTTGACATTTTTATTAAACCCAGGCCATCTCTGCGTGCTTCTCACTATCTTAATTTGCTGCTTCATCTGTCTGTATGGCCGCTTCAGGCAAAATCAGCTTGTTACAATTATATAGTTTAAGGCCTTGCAAAACAGTCTTTTCTGAAACTCGGTGCTTATTGTTACTCAGCAATAGCAAAATAAGAACAGTTAATGGTTCTATAATGCTCTTAATTGGAGATGCGTGTTACCCTCCTGATTTTAGAGGTGAGGTAACTGAGATGGAGCGAGGCATAGTGACCTCCCCCAGTCGCACAGTGAGCCAGTGGCACTTGCAGAGTAGGGACTGGACCCCTGGTCTCCCATGTCCTTCTCCCACCATTAGTCCATGAAGGTGGTAGTTGCAGCCTCTCTCAAGATGGTGGCTCCTGGCTGTACGGCCACCACAGGCAGGAGCCAACTGGCTGCTGTAAACATACACCCAAGGGTACTTACCCAGTAACCCTGTTCCACTGATGTTTGGAGGAATGCAAATCCTGACATGCACAGCCCACAGATGGAGACAGCTTGAGGTTGAACCTGGGCTGTAGGGCATCCAGTTTGTGGGTCAGTGAATGAAGACTATTTGGGTGAAGTTTTAGCTCAGCTAATGCAAAAGATGTGTGATAGAAGATTTGGGTAAAAAAAAGAGAAAGTGTGTGTGGTACAGAGCTGGGGATTGCTGTTACTGCGATCACAGCAGTTAACTGGTGTCACCTGAGCAAAGTAAGTTCAGGAATTTCTTTCTCCCTTTTGATAAATGACACCTCTCATTAAAATGGGGTGAGCCCATTTGGAGGCTGGACCTGCACATGTGGAATCTTTCAGCACTATTTGGGAAGGCAGCAGGATGCACAGCCAAACAGGTCACTCGTGCCTGCTCAAAGTGGCGGTGAGAGAACTGGCAGCATTCTTGTGGACGCTTGCTCTCTATAACAGCTTTTAGATATTAAATGTATTTTCTGTGGGAATCTTTCAGTAGGAGTTACATCAGACCTATATTGTTAACCTCAGGGTTTTATGGTGGGGCAAAACAGTCACATCTCCTATCAGCTTTATTACTGCATTACCTATGTTTAGCTTGCTACTCAGTAAATTGATCTGAGGTCTTCAGAGTGAAAAGTACTATGCATGGCCTCACGCTAACAAATAAAAAGGTTCTGACTGTTACATTAGTTGATGGTTATTCTTAATCTCTTTCTCTGCAGCATCGACCAGGAAGAGAGCAGAGGATGAAGATGAAATGAAGCAGCTGGCTGCCTGGGCTTCATAAGAGCATGGTCTTTTTATAACACTGAACATTAGAGCTGTAATGCTGTTTTATAACCATACCGATTTAGTGTGGTTGCATTTTGTACAGGCTGGGGTTTTTTTATGGCCAATCTTGCTAAGAATAGTGTTACTGCTGTATTACAAAACTAGTTTAAAAACAAACAAACAAAAAATGCAATAGTTGCCAAAACCTGCAAGCATCAAAGTTTTTTTTCAGCCTTGACCCAAGATTTGTTTTGTTATTAGTAGCAGTTTTTATTAGGTAATGCCTTACCATATCTTGCTCGTTTGTAAAACCTGTGTGTCTCACTTATGCACACTGCTGGATTCATTGTTGAAATGAAGAAGTTCAATAAGTCATCAAGGCCCCATCCTAGAGGGTTGCTTCGTTCAGACTATTTGAATTATTAGCAAAACAGCTTTATACATGTCCTGACTTGCAAGTTCCTTTTAGTCCAAGAGCTAGTAGCCATTCACTTGGGCATGGAGATTTAAACAGTCTGCCTGGAGCAACTTCTGGTGCCCTAGATATGAAAGGTAGACTCTGAAGTTGGATAGGTTTTTTATTTGTTTGTTTTGTTTTAAACTTTGGCCAGAATATCCCATGCATGTCTATAGGTCAACTTGAATCATATTTTGAACTGTTTCCAACTCTGTTCAAGAACAGTCTTATAGTGATTTTACAGGGGAAAATGAAATGTCCAAGTTCTTATAGATCCCTGACAAACAAACTGATTTCTGTTAACCCTGTCACAAATCCAGAAGAGATTTGACTTTCCTGGGGTGTTTTCCTCCACTGTGTCTTTCTAGGGTGAGTCTTTACTTTGTGTGATAATACCCATCCTCAAAGGAATTAATTGTACAATTTCAAAATAATTTTAATTTCTGAACATTTGGTTCTTTTCTCTTGTTCAGTTTCTGAACAGAAATAATGTCAGTGTGTTGTATTTGAAATGCCTTTCTAACCCTGGTTAAAAGCTGATTCTGAATTACTTGTCAAGTTGACATGTTACTGTCCGACTGACAGCTTTTTACCTTAAGGAACAGATGCCACTCTGGGTGCTAAACTACTACATAGATAGAGAAATTACTGTTCAAATACAAACCAAAAATTAAATAGGCTGCTTTGTACTAACGCATTTTATTAAACAAGACTTAAGGTCTATGCTAGTAGCCTGCTGTCAGTCACAAGGAAATAGTGAAACACTGGAGTTCCTAGGGATGTGGGAAGCAGAGTCACATTGATCTAGATTTTTTATTTTCGAATTAATTTAAATTTACTGATGATTGAACCACTTGGGGAATAGTGGGAGACTTGGTTTCTATAGATCTATAGAGGCAGAAGACTGACCCCTTCTCCTGTGGGCTTTAGCCTGTGATTTGCTGGGTGTTTGGCTTCTATAGGCTACAATACGCTTCAGCTTATTGAATTTTAGGCTAAGCGTAAGCTAATGCATGTTTCTGGACATGGCGTGCTCAGAACCTTTCAAGTTGAATTCCATGGATGAAGCCCAAAATTTACAAACCCTCTGGAGAGATTCAGTTTTTCAGGACTTCTTCATTCTCTGTAGTGGGATTTCTTTTGGATTGCATCCATTGGAAAGGAAAATCAAGCCTTGCCACTTCACTTTGGATAAATTTCCTACTGGAAAAAACTGTGTGTTAATTGCGTCCCAGAGTTTGGAGGTACCAGGAAAATTGTCCCTTTCTGTTGAGCAGAGAAAACCTGAAACTATTCAATTTTTGTTTTAAAAACAAACAAAAAAAATATTGAAGAACTGCCTTAAATTTAAAAATACATTTTGAACTCTCAGTAGGAAATCTAACAAAATGTTTCTTGGTTTTAATGCTTGCTGAAATTCAGGATGAGATGCCAGATGAAAGCAGGTGTATTTAATAAAATAGCAAATCTTCTGAGTTATTCAGAATCCATTTGCTAATCCATTTGGCTGGCATCCTGTTTTCAAGGTATACAGTCCGTGCAAGTCTCTGAATTGGGTACAGAAAGCGTCAGCGTACAGTTGATTGCACCACCATGTGAGGCTGGCCGTGTGCTTGTGGACACATCTGGTATTTCTGAATGTGAGGCCTTGCCAACGTAGTCCTGTGCTTAGCTTGGAAAAGCTGGCTTCCAGCATCTGTTCTTGGTCGAATTAGTAGTTTTCCAATACTTGGCACTTACATAGCACTTAGCGTATTTACAGTACTCTACAACCTAACCAAAATAGGTCTCTCAGCTTCCAGTTTGAAACTAAAGTGGTTTTCAGTCTGCTTTGGAAAACGTGGACCTGCTGGTTTTGTGCAAGAACTTTCTATGTGAACACCCTTCAGGGGAAAAAGAAATCCTAGGGAAAGTCTCCTTTGCAAGCTAGCATCTGACCTCCAGCAATGTTTTGGCCACATGTTGATTCTGGGAAGCCTCTGGTGTCTTCAGCTTACTGATTTCAGACCAGGCACTTTAGGAACAAAATCTGTGAAGGGTGAAGTAAAGAAACTGCAGTCATTTGGGTGAGCTTCTCTAAAAGCTTGTGAGTAGTGGCTGGTGATTCTGCAGGGCAGAGTTACATACCAGTTTGCAGGCTAGGACGCGTGTGGTTGGTGAAGCTATACTCACAGACACTATAGTCATGTACACAAACCAGAACACAGTATGGACCTCCAGAGCTGGAGTGCTTGTTGCCATATTTGTTTGGGAGACAGTAGGTGACTGGTTTTCTTCAAAAGCAAAGGGGTCCTAGGGATTTAATTCAGCTGAGGAAGTGGCTCTTCCCTGTGTAAATTCAGATGACACTGGGACAAATGGCTCTTCCTTTTTTGAACATATGCCTCTCTTCATGCCAAGATGGTGTTTGTTTAGTGTGTAAGCAGACGAGAGTGAACAGTGTTGAGGTGTTACTGTAAATGTACTCTCTATTAACTGGAACATATTTTACAAGAGGACTGTGGCAGCAGATGGTGCACTACAGCTGACTTCCTTTCACGTTTCTTATTTATTTTGAGAATGTTTCCTTCTCTTAACAGGCTTGGGCATTTCTAATCTGGGTGGCTTTAAAATGGGGAAATATATATTAATAAAAAGTAAAAAGAATTAATATATATGCTGTAAATAAATGTTTTGGTGTCATATTTGTTATCTGATTGTATTAAATTTATTTTCCTATCAGGCAAAACTGTAAGTGCTTTCCTTACACTGTCATTAGATACAGTGTTCTTTTTGAAACATTTTTTTGATATATTAAACTTTCAGCATCAGGTAAGAATTCAAAAATTCTTCAAAGGTGATTTAGTTTAAAAAATCAGCCAAAAAAACCCTAACAGCATATGGTGTGATGTTTGGGCTGCATTCCTTCACACTTAACAGTTGTGTTGCAAGAGATTCTTTTGTTTTAACGTGTCCAAAATACCTCCCTCCCCCTCCCTGCCCGTGAAGATCTCTCCATTGTTTCAGAAATGTGTGTATTTCACTTTCCAGGCCTTACTTGAAAGGAAGAATGGTCAGGTCTTTTAAACATGAAAAAATACTATAGATAAGAATGAATTGAAACAAAACAATGCATTTTTTCATGCGTCTCATTTGAATCTCCTTAAAGTGTGTGTGCATAAGTGTCTGTTTTATGTACACACAGATGTATATTTACACATACATGTAAAGTGTTGGACTGGTGATTTAAGACCATCATTCATTATCTGGTGTGGAAAGGGTTCGATTGCTTGGGCAGCTCATCTTTGCCTCTTTGTAAAGCCTAAAGGCTTCATCACAAAACGTCAAGGAACTGTTCCGGCACGCACACACGTGCTTGCTGTGTATACAGCTCGGGGGGGGTGGAAGAACAGGATGGAGCACCTATGGGGAATATTTCTGATGAGAAAATCTCACAGTTTTTCATGTTGTAGAGCATAAATTATTTTAATGATGTCATTTTTTTAGAAACATAGGGAGGAAGCTTTAGTTTCAAAAATGACTTAAAATCATAGACTTGACAGCAGGGACTAGCTTGGACATCTTAAGAAATGGCAAATATCATTGTCTGTTCTTACGTAGCTGTCGTATTTTCTCAGATCTGTCCCCACCGATGCAGCACTGGTCAGTCAGATGCATATTGTAGGGAATACCTGCCCAGTTCACGTGACTGATCATGGTTTAAGTGGTTTATTGTTTTGTTATCAACACATAATTCAGCCATCGCTGAACTATACACTTGGGATCAATAGCTGTAGTGCAGCTGATAAAGCTAGACAATATAGTTACGAAATGTTAGTATGTGCCTAGAAACTTCTAAACATCCTTGTAAGCCCTAGGAAGGCTGTGTCTGGCAGGGTCACGCTGGCTCCTCCCTTGCCTTGCTCCCCTCTTCTGCACATGACACATCCTCATCTTTTCACGTTTTGCTTATATGTCTGCTTAGCTGACTTTCTCCTCCCCCAACAAATAGAAGTCTCCTGGCAATTCCCTGGGTGCTGTTTAATACAGTTGACTGTTGTCTTCCTCTTTAGCAAGATGAGCTTTGGGCAAATGACCTCTCGGGCAGTTTGGGCATCACGCATGCAGCACCCTTACACCCCCTGTGCTATCTTACCAGCCGGTGTTACCCAGGCCCTTTCCAAGGCATCAGGGCTGCGGAGGTGCGCGCTTGGGTGGCTTCCTCAAAGAGTAGGCACCCGATTCCCTCAGCTTGAATGGCAAAGTGTGTCTAAATTGAGGATCTGCAGTTTGTGAGTGAGCTAAATTCAATAAAGCAGGTGGGAAGCTAATTGGTCTGAGCTAGTGGCCTTATCCCATGCAGGTATGGAGCCTCCATACCTCTCATTGGTATGACATCATCAGCTTGCAAAGATGCCTTAGTGGGCAAGGAGTGTTTTGTGGGTTCAAACAGGATTTACATGGATGCCCCTCTACCCCAACTTTAGCACCCTTTCCACAAAAAATAAAACGTGCACTTTAGGAGGAATGTAAGACTTCAGATAGGTTTAATATGTGAACATACTCGGTTGCATTATGTTTACTTCTGTGATCGGATTCAGCTTACCAAAGGGACCTTGGTGCAGGTGCTGAACTAACTGAAGCCAGCTTGGACTGCCTACGTGTGGGTGTATGCAGGGTTACTATATTACCCAGTACCTACCTATATGTATATAGGGTTGTGGAAGTGCATGGTGCACTGCTCTTTATTTGTGCCAAGCAGCAGTGATGAGCTCTGTCAGCGGCAGGGCTTGGACTCTGCGGACCTCCAGGAGGAGCTCTGGATTCAGCGTACAGCAGGAAACTCCAGCAGGCTCAGAAGGCTGTGATTTTCACACTGATCCCAGTTTCAGTATTTCTTATTGCTCATGATGGAAATTGAAGGGCCTGCTTGTTGGAAGGGCTGCTCAAAAAGCAGGTGGGGGGACCTTCTCACCCACCCACTCTCACCACAAATCCCCACTTTTTCAAAGCTAAAATGCTCTTTTTAATACTAACCCAACTTCTTGGCTGCTTTTCTGGCCTCTGTCTCTTCTCTGACCTTCCCCTGGCCGTGGCCACCTTGGCACCCAGCTTGGTTCCCTGCTTTGGACTTGCAAACATGCTGGACAGCAGGACCTCAGAAGCAGACCTTTGTGGAGAAGCTTGCCAGCCCCCTCCTTGAGCACCCACACCATGACAAATGGGAGCTATGACCCAAAAGATTAAATTGGTTGAAAGTCCCCGTTTTTGAAGAGAAGTTCCGCACAGCATGATGAAGGGACTTAACCTCTTTAATACTGGTACAGCAAACTCTGCTTCGCAGTGACCAGCTGTGAGCTGGATGCCATTGCAGCACACCGAGGACATGGAGCTGCGAAGAGGGATTTCTCTGTCGAGCATCCATCTCTCGGCCCTTGCTAGGGTTCAGAGCACATCTGCAGCCGTGTGTAAGGTCAGTGCCATGCTGGGTTAGGGGGGAACATGTGTCACCTGCCCATAGGAATTGCAGCTGTTGGTTTTGAGGCTGTTGAGAATGTTCAAGTGTAGAATTAATCACTTTGATTTACTGAGGAGTGGGATCTTAAGGGTAATTTTACGAAGAAGGAGAGGTCTTACTCGTCAAATGAAACTCAGTCTGAACTGACACAATCAGCAGAGTAGCTCCGTTTTCCAGACTGGCTAAACAGTAGAGCTGAATTGGGTTTGGGCTCTTTGACCACTGAAGAACAAACTCTGCAGCCCCATCAGTTGTTCTAGTGCGATGTCTGCGTCACTAGGGTCAGTTAGTGAACTCTCCAGAAAAAGCTTTATGAAGAACCTTTGCTGTACTCTGGAGCCCTCACGTATCTCCCTTTGGGGGCTGTAAGAGTGCCTGAAGTGAGGCAGGACAAAATATTCCTCCTGAAGGAAGTTAACAGGCTGTAAAGAGGAAGCCGTTATAGGAGAACATAGAATCATAGAATTGTTTAGGTTGGAAAAGACCTTTAAGATCATCAAGTCCAACCATCAACCTAGCACTGCCATCCCACCACTAAACCATGTCCCGAAGCACCTCGTCTACCCATCTTTTAAATACGTCCAGGGATGGGGACTCAACCAGCTCAAATGCTTGACAACCCTTTCAGTGAAGAAATTGTTCGTACTGTCCAACCTAAACCTGCCCTGGTGCAACTTGACACCATTTCCCCTCATCCTATTGCCCATTACCTGGGAGAGGAGACCAACACCCACCTCACTACAGCCTCCTGTCAGGCAGTTGTAGAGGGCGATAAG